AATTCCCTCATGCCTCCAAATCTTGACCCAGGCTCTCTCTGCCCAGGCTCTGCTCTGGGCCCAGAGCAGGCAATATAAACCATCACAGCAGTTAGGATGGCAGCAGATGCAGTGGCGACAGCCTGTTGTCTAAGGACAAATCCCAGCTCTGAAACCCAAGGCCGAGTGGCCTCGGGCATGGCTCTCAACCTCTTTTATCTCAGTAGTCCCATCTGTCAGATGGTGTGATGGTACTCAACTCCTGGGGTTCTGAAAGTGTTCAGTGAGTCCTAAATACACGTAAGCTGCCCGAGAGTGTCAGCCAGGATGAGCAGTGCTGCTGTGTGCCCACCCCAGTGACTGCTCGGCACTGCAGCTGCAAATGGGAATCATCAGGTCTTATGAGAATTATACGTATTAAAATCTGTAAAGTACTTGACACAGATCTGGCACATGGTAAAAGCCTGATCAGTGTTTGTTATTATTATCATCCTTGGATGCCCTTGTGCTGTGGAAGGAATGCTCTGGGCAGATTGCTGTAGACCAGGAAGTCACCAGGGGCTGTCCAGTCCCTTTGTCTGCACTCAGGGCTCCTGAGCAGGAAGGAAGCCCCCGCTGTCACCGTGGCTGTCTCCCCCCTCGACACTCCAGCATCAGCCAGTCCCCAGCTCCATGGTGTCAGGAAAGCAGAGAGCTACTTCTCTGAAACATGGGGTGGCCCTGCCTTAAGAAAACTCACTCTAGGAGCCAAACATCAAAGAAAGAAAGAAAGAAAAAAAGAGAGAGAGAGAGAAAGAACAACTCATAGTGTGCTAACAACAGAATTTGTATCATAAGGTCATGGTTTTTTATTTACCCACGAATAAACCAATCAATCCACGGTCATTTTGGCTTCATGGGTCACTAGCAACGACTTGCCTTGTCCCATTAAAACAAAATCCATCCCACTTAAAAGAATGAAGAGGGAAAAGGGGCGCCTGGGTGGCTTAGTCAGTTAAGCGTCCGACTTTCGTTTAGGTCATGATCTCGCGGTTCGTGGGTTCGAGCCCCGCGTAGGGCTCTGTGCTGACTGCCAGCTCAGAGCCTGGAGCCTGTTTCAGTCTGTGACTCCCTCTCTCTCTGACCCTCCCCTGCTCACGCTGTCTCTCTCTCCTAGAAATAAATAAAACATTAAAAATTAAAAAAAAAAAAAGAATGAAGAGGGAATGATAAAATCAGAATGCTGCACCGTGCAGCCCCTAAAGTATGGATAGGCCCAGGCGCATCACCAGTGGCTAACTGACGTCACAAAAGAGAGCCAGGCAGATGTGCGCCTCCTGAAGGAAGCACATATGGCCACATGTACATTCTTGCAAAAAAGAAAAGAAACTCCAAACCTCTATCTGATCAAGCTGCTAGATTTACTTAATTTATGGGAAATACAAGGAACAGAAGACAACTGCATCAACAAGTAAAACTGACAAAAATCCCAACGGTGGGCAACTCTGCAGACCCTGCGACCCAGTTTCCTCCAATAAGTAGCAAGAGAAAAATAAAGATGAGAAGAGAATCTTAGAGACTGAAAGAGACTTGAAAGACTCGGCCTCCGGAACACAACATGTGGGCTCTATCTGGATACGGGGCAAAACAAAGTAGAGATAAAGGTACTTAAAATATTTGGGATTCAACCAGAAATTTGAGCGCTGGATACTAAAGGATTGCTGAAAGTTTTAAAAGAGTTCTTATCTCTTAAATTGAGAAATACGTTGTCATATTTATGGCTGAATTGAGACGATACCAGCATAGGCTTCAAAACAGGAGGGACGTGGATGTGGCTGTGGTGGGGCCAGCCTGACCATATCGGAGAGTGCTGGTCCTGGGTGCATGGAGTCATTGTACTAATCTCATCTACTCTGGGTGTATTCTAAACCCTCTGTAAGAAAAAGCTCGTAAAGAAAGGCCATTTGTAAAATTTCAGTTTGCCCAGCCACACGTGTGGAGTCCATCTTCTGCCTCCCCAGGGTCAGCAGGCTGGGATGTGTTAGTCCCGGTTCTGGCCTATTTTCTGAGTCTTCCACTTAGAGAAGGGACAAGTTTAGTCTCTTGGGTCAAGAGTGAGTTTCCTGAGGCCTCGGGGCTTGGCAATTTTGGAGACTGGAAAATAATTTGGATAGGTGAAATCTCTGATACACACTGAAATCTAATCTTATCCGAAAGGTAGGTAAACCAGCAGCGATCCACGTTTCAAAAGGTTTGATTGATTTAGAATATAGCAAACATTTTGGAAAAATGGTTTGATTTACAAAAGTTAGCAAGTGCATATGATTCCATCGAATGCACTAGTCAGGTGGGGTTTGCTGTCTGGTTCCTGAGAACTCCAGATGCTATTAACACCTAATAACTCCACGGGAGAAATCCAAATGACACCCAACTCCAGAGGACCACAAGCAACTAAAGGCTCCTTCTCCCACTCTCAAGCTTATTTCTAGGTCTTCACCTGCACCCCCAACCCCTCTGCCCTCCGCCTTGGTCAATGCTGCCCACAGTGGCTCCCAGACACTGCGTTCCCAGGGAAGTCTCTGCCACTATGACAGCCAGCATAGCCTGTGTGGAATTTCCTCTGTAGATGGCATCCCCAACGGCCTTACCCAATCTGGGTGGCAGGCAGCCTCCTAACTCTGTACCTCCCACAGGCAGAAATCCACTGAGAGAAGGCTTGTCCAGGCCCTTGGGGCCACCCACCCATGCAACGGGATACATACACTTTGTAAGCACTGGTTTCCAACAGATAAATGTAATCAAGGTTTATATGCTCAGAGAAGCCAACAGGATGGGATTGTTTCACTTGAAAGATCAGAAGAAAATTGTAACTAATGTTGTGGAAAATTACTTTGATATTGCTTTCTTGGTACCGAATCACAATTAGGCTGCTGTGAGAAGTACAGGGAAAGAATAAATGAATAGTAACAAATCAACACAAACAGCCTGTGTCAGGAACACTTTGCTCAGGGAAAGTAACATAAGCATTACTTAAAGTTTTATGACTGTGTTTGATGTGATTTACGTAGAATGTCAAGGTTGCCTCTCACCTGCCACATGGTGAAGGTGGTCCAGCTCTATCTACAGCCAGAAGAACCCGGCTGGAGCCCCAAGTATGCTCTGTGCTCTGGTCTGCCACGCCCACACCATCCCCACTGCAGGGGGACACCTGCCTAAGCTTCGTGGCATCCACACGCCCTGCCAGCTGGAGGCTCTGAGCCCCGCCCCTGGCTCATCACTCCACCCCGGATTCTAGCTGTCCTGTGGGCCCTGGCCCCGTGAGTGATGGAAGAGATCTGCACGCGCATGCTCAGGGCCAGCTGTGAAGGGCAATGCTGGCTGGCGTGAGGGACAGGAGTCTACCACCCACAGAAGACGCAAAGGTCAAGCACTCTGCTTTGCCGGCCAGCTGCAACATGGCGGGCCACACCTCCCGGCGAAGATACCCAACTCTACCCAGGAATACAGCATCTGTCCCTGCAGTATACCATGGATGGGGGCATGGCCCTGCCCCACAGACATGCTCATGCCTTCCCTCCCAGGCTTGTCCCACAGAACACAGACCCTGAACTCAAGGACCCTCTGCCCATGCGTGTGCCCCAACCACGCACACACTGAGACAGGTACCTAAGATTCATGGGTCACTCCCAAGGATACACCATTTACCCCAAGCCATATCGGACGGAGGACCCTTGCTCAGGACCTCATTTCTGCACAGATAACATACAGCTGCGGATGCCAATCTCAGTCTGCCCGACAGCCCGATCCCATGGGGCCCGATTCTGCCGACACAGGGCCGCCAGGCATTCTAAGGCTCATGCGAGGCTCTAAAGTCCTCAAAGGAGCCAGCGTGGTCGTATGTCCTTGCTGCTTCAGAAGCCGGGGAGTAGCCAGAACCACTTCTGACAGTCACACCCCTCCCAACCCCGCTGTGAGGCTCTGGCCCAGGTGTGAGTCAGTACCTGTGCCTTGCCTGCTGTCTCCTGGGGTCCCACAGCTCTGGCTGCCTCTAGGAGATGAAAGAATGAACTCATTGGCCTCCCCAACCAGAGTCTCTGGTGAAAGCTGTTGGGCCCGGGGTCCCCGCTCCAGTCTCCTTATGCTCTGTCTGACTTTCTACCTGATGCCTGTGCTTAGGAGGGGTGAGGCAGCCAGAGCTGAGGGTGGGGCTGGGGAGGGGGCTAGGCGCTGCCCTCCCATATGTGAGCCCTGAAGGCAAAAGTGGTGCAGGACTTTCTCTGCCTGAATCCACAGCCTCTACTCCTCCATATTGTCTGTATCCTGGAACACATGGGTGTCTTCACGGACCTCCCTGCTAAAGGCCCCCAAACCCATGGCTCAGAGATGAGTAAGGGCGGTGTCCCAGCAGCAAGCACCCTGCCAAAGCTCCCCTCTCCACATTCTGCCTGCCTGAGGCTCCAGAACCATCCTTTCCCCGGTTCCCTTCCTGCCCCCCACCTGTCCTCAGCAGACCTCTGTGAATCAGGAAGGATGCTCCCCTCTGAGTGGCTCACGAGGGACGTGTGGGATGCAGGCGGGAGGTGGGGGCCGGCAGAAGCAATCTCAGCCTCACAAAGGCAGGAGGTACCTTGACCCTGTCTGCTTAGGCTGAGGGGCTGGATTCAAGGAGTCCCAGGGCTGGCAGAGAAACAGAGTCCCGTGGGGGACAGGGGCTCAAGGAGAAGCCATTCACCCTCTGGAGTCCCAGACCACGTGGGAGAGGCCCCAAGAGATGGCTGAATCCTCTTTAAGCCTCAGTGTCACCAATTTTAGTATATGTGCTGCCGAAGCGAGCAGAAGCCTCAGCATCACCAAAAGCAACAACTGGCAGAGAGACGGGCAGCCTGGCCATCACTTCAAGAGGATCTAGAGGGCAGAGGCCAGAGGCTGCTGGCTGCTGGGGCTCTTCGGTACAGACTGGGCACCAGGGCAGCTGTGGAGGCCTGCACTTTGGACAGAAAAGCTGGGGCAAGTGGGCGGCAGGGCCGAGCGCAAGGCCTCACCTGGCACCTGCTGAGGGGAGAGCTCCGTGGGGTCCTGCAGGCTGATGAAGAGCAGGAGACCTGCGGCTCCAAACAGCAGGATGGATGAGAACATGCAGGCCAGCCGCATCGTTCCGGCTCGTGGGGTCATCCGGGGCTCGCTCCGGGCTCACCTCTCGGGTGCGGGAGGTGCGTTCTTGCTTCATCATCCACACCAAGCGTCCATCAGGCCACAGTCTACAGGGCAGATGGGGAGAGAGATGGTCCATCACCAAGGCACAAGGCATCCTGCGTGGTCTGAGGCCCCAGTCACTGCATATGGCCAAGCACGATCCCTGGGTCCCTCCATCCCTTAGAACTTAGGTATGTCCCTTCCACCTTTTCAAGCCCAAAGAGGCTGAGGAAGTCCAGGCACTACCTGTTGCTGGGTCACCAGCTTCCCACCAGGGTCTCCGGTATCTGCACCCCCAGAAGAGCCATGGAGAGAGACACTGTCCGGCCTCTGCCTGGGGAAGCCCAGGCTGGAGCCCTGAGACCCACAGCCTGTAACGGGCCCTGCACTGTCCAGGCTCTCTGAGCTTCCAACAGAGCAGGTGTGCTCCCTACCAGGGGTCTACGCCTCTAGAAGGGGCAGCAATCTGGGCCTCTGTCCCTTATAACCAGCCTGATAGACAGAGAAGCTCTTGGATCTCTCTGCCCTGGCTCCTGTCTGCAGGATGCCGGGGACAAGTGTCTCCACAGAGCGAGATACTTTGAGAAGAAGCCTCCCGGGCCCCGAGGCTCCCAGGGATGGAGGCTCCCCGTCCTGGTTGCTCCCCTCACCAGCCAGAGCTGCGTCTCCCTGACCCACGGATGGGCTGGCGGGATGGAGTCTGTTGCATCAGTGAGGATGGACGCTCTGGCCCGATCATGGTTACTGCCACTATGAGGCCCTCTGGCCCAGAGCTGAGGCAGTCAGACCTGCATCTGACAGATCCCAGGCTCACATCCCTTGTGATACCTGTTGCTCTGGCCACTGCAGACCCAAAGCATGACCAGGTGACATGCCTTTCTTGCTGGCTTCTCCTGCAGGGCACAGAAAGAAATGCCAATATCCCCTTACCAACCAGTGACTCCAAATGGGCCAAGCTTGCGAGTCTAGAGGGGGGCACCCCAAGGCCATTTGCTCATGGGAAGGATGTAAGTTCCCGCAGTGGGGGGAGGCACGGGTGGAGCAGGAGAGGGATCTGCACAGGAAGCCATGCTACAGGGCATTCCGGAACGTCCCCTGTTGGTGGAAGGTCGCTCTGTCCCCTTGTCTTCACCCTTTGCTACTAGTCCGGGCTTAGAGGTACCATCTTCTCTCTCCCGACAGAGCCTTGCGAGGAGCTCCCGCAGCCCTGGCACAGGGCAGCACCGAGGGAGGCAGAGGCTGGGGGCGGGGGGGTGGGGGTGGCTTCCAGCAGCCTCTGGGATCATAGTTGGGTGGCGGGGACCCAGACCAGATTCGCTGCTTGGCACAGGGTCATTTCCCTTCCCGGGGCCTCCTCAGGCTCGGCAATTTGCTCTGGGAGCCCATTCCTGACCAGGCACCCAGGCGCTGGGGGGAGGAAGCCCCAGCTATGGTCCCTCCGTGTCCTCATCCTCCTGGGGGACAGGAGGCAGGAAGTGGTAAGAGGAGCCCTTCCCTCCCAGGCCCAGACAAAGATTCCCAGGGACTAGACTGTCCTCAGCAAAGCTCTGGTGCTGAGGAGTGTTAAATTGCAGGTTTGGGTTTCTCCCCTCTGCAGTCACTGTAATTATGTTTTCACTCAGTTAACTTTAATTAACCTGCCCCAGGCCTCTCTGCACGGGGAACGCGCCCGGGCGCAGGGCTCTCTGGGCTGTGCCGAGCAGGTGTTTCTCACGACCTCCCAGCTTTGATGTTTGGGAGGCAGCGCTGAGCAGGGCTTGGTTTTGTCTCTGGAGCTGGCTCCAGGTCTGAATTGGCCCCGATCTCCCTGCAAATGCCCCCACGCCCTCTGAGAAAGACTGCCGCTTTCTGCCATTGCCAGGGACACCACTGGGCTTGCAGAGGGTAAACCCCAAAGGTTCAGAGTCTGGAGTCTTTCGTTTGGGGAGACTCCCTCTGTGGCCTCCCCAGATGGGACTGTCCTGGGGACCTGGCACATCGTCCTGCAGACACAGATGCAGCCATGCAGGCCCGGGCCCCACTGAAGGGCAAGGTCACTCTCAACACTGCCCAGAGGATGCCCCGTGTCCCGTGGTCTCCCAAGCTCTTCCCTCTGTAATGACAGGCACTGTGTGCAGGGGCCACCCGGGCCAGCCCCAAGGTCTGGGGGAAGATGGGAGGAGATGGAGCAGCTCTCTCTGGCCCTCACTCTGGGCCTTCCTGCCCCAGGGCCATTGGCTTAACCCCTAGGGGTGCCCGTGCAGTCACAGAAAGGAGTCAGAAGAGTGGTATCAACATCACACACACTGATTCATCAAGGACAAGACCCTCAGACAGGGAGCAAGGGACGCAGCTCAAGGCCTTTCTAGAGCAGAGGTACACACACACACACACACACACACACACACACACAGGCACACACACACCATCAACAGGCCCCAGCAAGGCTCCAGCTTAAAGAAACTGCCACAAAATCCTGATGACACTGGCCATGGTGGTGGCATGCTGCCTGCAGCCACACCAGCCTCCTGAGTCGGACGTGGCCAATCTGACCTAGGGTGAGGGAGAGGAAGGAGGGGGAAAAGAACGGCAACTTTATGGCTGGGGCACAGGGCTGTCTGGTAAAACTGTTAATGAAATGCCACCCAATCTCAGCCCAGAGGCTCTATTTGATGAAAAAAAGGAGAGAGGCGGTGGGGGGCGGGGGGGGGGCGGGGTGGAGCTCAGAAGCACATGCAGTCATCATTGCGTTGTTTACAGTAGCCAGCACTGCACAAGTGCCTGCAGAAGAACTGGCCAGTCCCCTCTTCTCTCCAACTGTCACCGTATAAGCCAGTCCTGCAGCCATGACCTGTCCTTACCTGTTTCTATACCTTCCCAAACCAACCCCAGCACATGGGGCCAGGGTGAGGACCACATCTCTGCCCCAAATCTGGGGAGGGGGAAAGAAAACCAGCCCCAGGACCTGCACCTTCACCATGGCTGGAGCGTCAACCACTCAAGTGTCTGATTTCAGAGACTCTCCCCACAGGAGAATACAGCACCCTCTCAGTGCCCAGGGAAGCCGGTGTTAGAGCCATGCATGGCTTTCCCGGCTAGCCCTAAGCACCAGCCCTCAGCCTTCCTCTTTGAGACCCTCCTCTCAGCGTTTGCTCTCACTGGAGACCAGCTAACCAGCTAACTCCTTGCTCTGTGCAAATGGGAATCAAAAGGTTTAGCACGCCTCCCCTTCTGGGCAGCTGGTTTGCAGTCTGGCTGGATCTTCAATGCCCCAGGAGGGGACCAACATCACAGCATCTGTAGGAACCTCCTTCCTTTACAGGTGGAGGGTAGCTAGGAGATCACCAGACACTTCAGAGAGTGTGCACGTCTGATCCCCTATTGTTCCCGTGAGGGTCCTTGTCTTCAAAGTCACATGTTATTTTCAAGGCAATGGGAAGATGGTGGTCCAAAGGCTGCTTGTCTCCCTTCCCTGGGAGTCCAGCTGCTGCCTGGGTAGTGGACTCTGTGATCTGTCACAGGCTGGGACTAGGCTGCTCAGGGCCCCGTAAACACATTCACAGACGTCTGCTCCCACCTGGGACACGCCGCATCACACTCAGCTCCAGTGACAAGTGGAAGACCCCAACCCCCTGCCCCGCCTCCCTGCCAAGACCAACAGACAATAAGAAAATTCAAATAACTGCGGGGTGGAGTAGGGACGAGTGAGGCAAGAAAAATAAACAGCCCACTTAGTTTCCAGAAGGTCCTGTTCTCACAATCCCTCGTTTTCCCAGTGGCTTGCTCTCCCTGAGGCCTGAATGGCATCACCCATTTTTTTAGTGTAAGAAAAAAAAAAAGATCCAATTAATCTTGTAAACACCTCCTGGGACACAGGTCAGGGCCAAGGATTCCTCCCATTTCCTTATTTATCTGATTTAAAAATTTGTCTCTTGGGAAAATTCACTTTAGGGCACAAGCAAGGACTTGGGAATTCAGCCAAAACACACGCACCTCCAGTGGCGACAGGCCGGCAGGCAGATGGACGGATGGCTTCAAGGACACGCTTGGCTGCGGCTGCTCCAAGGCCTGGATGCTTCCCCCAGTCACCCAGAGGACCCCCTCTGGCTGTGAGGCCCCGCTCCCGGGTCCCACTGGAGGCAGCTGGAGGCGTCTGGCCAAGTGCCCCTGGGAGCACCCACTTGGTGTGTGGACCCCGGGCCCCAGAAAGTTCTCTGTCCAGTCAGTCTCCTCCTTGCACGGGCAGGAGCGAACAATGACGTCCCTCCCGGCTGAGGGCTCCAGGAGGAGCTGCTCATCGGGAGAGAGGCTGCTATGGCAACTTGAGGAGAATGGAGCCAGGCACTGCCGTCACCTTGAATCCGGCACCAAGCATTCCACGGGGCGGCAGAGGGGGCCGCGCCTCCCCGCTCTGCCCCTGCTGAGGATCCTGCGCTGGGGCTGACCTCCCGCCTTTCCTCCGCAGCCTGCTGGCCTCCGTAACTCATTTGCTCCTCACCGAAACGGAGCACACAGCCCAGTCCCCTGAGAACACCACCTCCATCTGTTTTGTCAGACGAGTTCTTCCGTGTGTGCGGCTCCTGCTTGCTTCTGAGATGGGGTTCTTCTTGATTTCAGCTCATTAAAATCCTGCAGCTAATTAAAACTGTTCTAACAGCAGCAGCGGCAGTGGCGGCGGCAAACTCTGGGATGAGTCCCTCCAGTTTTTATGCGTAGGCATAAAGTTGCAATGCTCTGTGAGGGTGACGAATGGCTGCAAGTGTTCAGACTCTGGGGCGGGGCTGCAGACTCCAGCCCTGCCTGACACAGGAGAGCGCTGACCTGGGTCCTGAAACGCCCTGGGCCCAGCCTCAGCACCCCCCAGGGCACACCCGGCTGCAGCCTACTCCTGTGGGAGACCATTCGCCCGCCATACTCCTCCCCACTACAAGGCAGGGATTCCGTCCAATCCCCCATGCTTTCTTTCTGCCGGGGGGAGAAAGGGAGCCCTAAGGCGGAGGCCAAGGCATAAATCAGGCTCAAACAGTCCCGAAGCCTTGTCCCCACGGATCCACTAGGAACGCAAAGGCAGTTTCCCACCATTGCT